TGTCCCAAAACTCAAACCATTTCCGGATGCTATTCTCAAAGTGTTTCAGGGCGAAGAGATGCCCAAAACCTATGTGTGCATCACATTTATTCCCCCCTCTGATGTGCTTCCACCGGAAATTTTGATGTGCCGCTTGGAGAAACAAAATGGTGGCATTTGCACGTCATCGTGGAGGATTCTTAGGACTGAGAAAGACAAGAATGGTGGAGAAACCATTACGATCTCGGTGGATGAAAAATCCAAAAATTGGATAGTCGGTCAGGCAGGGAAGCTGTACCTGAACTTCACACAAATTCACGTACGGGTGAAGAAACTGACGACTAAAAGGCCATTTACGAACGAGAAACCCAATGATGTCAAACAACAGGTGCCTCCATCCAAAAGGCCGCATCCAGACGATAGACCCAGTATCTCAAAAGCACAGGCAGATAAGCCAAATGAGACGGTAAAGGTTATACAGGACAGCACCCGAACTGATGTCGGACCCAACACCTCAAAACAGCATGGTAGTACACCGGTCTCTAATGTAAAGGACCAGAAGCAAGGGCCAAAGAAACCAGCTTCCAGATCCCCTCGACAGGAAGCACCCACTCATGGGACAAAATTGCCCAAGTGGATGCGTAACGGCAAGGGACGATACAAATAAAAATAATGAGGTACCTGCAGGTGAATCTTTAACACACCAAAGCTGCTACGGCGGTGTTGACACAGTACTTCTATCTGAAAAGATTGACCTAGCCTTTATCCAGAAGCCATATGTATATGAGAACCAGATAAAGGGACTAAAAGGTATGTTACTGTACGACCATGTCAGTCATAGTCGACCCCGTGCTTGTATTGTGGTACGGGATGATATTAATGCTTTCATTATTCCACAGCACACCAACAAGGACCAGGTAGCAGCTATTATTTATGTGCACAAATATTAATAAAAGAGGTGAGTATCTATTTGAATTTATTACAGGTAACAACCTAAATATTTTGAATATGGGCAATATGTCCACTTTTATAAACAGAATCAGGGAAGAGGTACTAGACATCACCCTAGCTACACAATTTATAAAACATTTTATCAAAAACTGGAATGTTTCAGCAGAAACATCCATGTCTAATCATCCTCAGATAAGATTTGATATTGATCTAAATATGAAAGTAAGGGAATCGTATAGGGTGCCTAGGGCCACAGAGTGGGATCTATATACCGACGAACTGAAGGCAATAATAAACATACGATAAAAAACATTCATGACTTAGAAATAGCTTATGCTGCCTTAAACACAACTATTATAAATGCCTACCATGGAGCCTGTCTGATGAAAAATAAGACCGGTAACAGAAATGCACCATGGTGGAATAAAACGTTAGCCAAGCTAAAAATCAAATCCCGGAGACTCTTCAACAAAGCAACAATCAACGGTGAATGGGACAATTATAAAAATGCCCTCACCGCCTACAATAAAGAAATTAGTAAGGCAAAAAGAGAATCATGGAGAAGCTTCTGCTCAGAGATTCAAAACTTAAGCCGAAGCTCTAAAATCCACAGGGTCATCTCGAAAAGCCACAGTAATCCCATTGGGCTTCTGAAACGACCTGGTGGTCTGTATACCAATGATTGCAAAAAGTCACTTATACTTCTAACAGAAGTACACTTTCCGGGATCTACAATTTACGACCATTCAAATTTCCAGCTCAGTTCCCTGGTGTCCAAAAGGCCCAGAAACAATGACTGGAAGACTGCTCGTAAAATCTTTACTGAAGGTGAAATTAAATGGGCGATCAACTCATGCTCTCCTTTCAAAACCCCTGAAGTGACGGAATATTTCCAGCACTCCTACAAAAGGGACTAACGCACCTCATGCCCTACCTAATTAATACATTTAGAGCTGGGCTGGCGATGGGAATCATTCCCACTAATTGAAAGGAAGCAATTGTCAAATACATACCTAAAGGAGGAGGTCAACCTAGCGAAGTTCCTAAATCCCATAGGCCTATAAGTTTGACTTTATTTCTTCTAAAAACAATGGAGAAGACAGTGGAAAGACATATAAGGGAAGAGTATTTATCTATAAATCCATTCCACGCCAACCAGCATGCCTACCAACAAAATAAATCAACCACACATGCATTACTCAGTCTTACTAATAAAATACAGGAGTCTGTAGACTGCAAAGGATTTGCAGTAGGTTGCTTTCTTGATATTGAGGGAGCGTTTGACAATAGTGATCACTCACATATCGAAAGATGCCTCCATGACAGAGGAGTCGATAATACGACACGCACATAGATAAGCAATGTCCTAAGAAATAGGGTGGTTAGATCCACTCTCGGCAATGCCGAAATAAAAGCACATACTGCAAAAGGATGCCCACAAGGGGGTGTATTATCCCCACTCCTGACAATTGCAGTGGACGAGCTTTTGCATCGACTCAGTGCCAAACATTTCGAGGGACAAAGCTATGCTGATGATATAGTCATACTTGTCAGGGGTAACTATGAAGGCATGATCTCATATCGACTCCAGCAAGCCCTGAACATCGTTAGTAGATGGTGCAGTGAAGTAGGATTAAATGTAAATCCTAAGAAAACAAGTCTGGTAGTCTTCACAAAGAAAAGGAAAAGAGTACTTTCCAATTACCCATTCCTAAATGGAGAAGAGCTATCATCCGTTACCCAAGTAAAATACCTGGGAATGATTCTGGATGAGAAGTTGACGTGGAATTCTCATGTAGACAATGTTATACGAAGAGCCAGAGAGGCATTATGGACCAGCAGAAACCTCATTGGTAAGCACTGGGGCTTTAATCCAAAACTCAGCTCTTGAATGTACACATCTATTGCCAGACCAATTGTAACTTATGGGTCAGCTATCTGGTACAAAAAAGCACAACAGAAGACTGTAATAGATAAACTTCGTAAGCTGCAGAGATTAGCCTGCATAATGACAAGTGGAGCGATGAGAACTACCCCGACAGCAGCCCTAGAGGTTGCATTGGGGCACCCCCCACTTCACCTACTAGTCAAAAAGGAAGCAATGACTTTTATGGCCAAGCTACAGTTGACTAGCAATCAATCAACAAGACTACTCGATAACTCCCTGTTAGGTAGGGAAATGCAAAGAGAGGAAGGACTAAATATCACCATATCTGACATTTGCTTACCTAAATTCAACTTTCACCAAAAGTTCCTAATACTAATACCAGACAGAAATGAATGGGAACGGAACATACCTCCATTCGCTGGAGACTACCATCTGTGGTACACGGATGGCTCCAAAACGATGGAAGGAGTGGGGGCGGGAGTATATGGAGTAAGACCTAAAGAGGAAATATTTGCGAGTATGAGTAAAGAAAACTCAGTTTTTCACGCTGAAGTACACGCAATTGAATTATGTCTCAGGGTATATAAAGGTAAACCCGTCACGGGAAAAAACATATATATCTTTTCTGACAGTAAATCGGCACTCCTGGCACTACGCTCACCTCGAGTAACCTCAAAAATAGTGTGGGAATGCCTTCTACTTCTCAAAGACCTTGCTGAAAGGAACAGAGGAAACGAAAAAGCAGATGAACTAGCGAGAAAAGGGGCGGCCTTATACTATATTGGGCCACAACCATTCTGCGGTCCTTCGTGGAGCTTTTTCAAACTTAAAACTAATGAATGGCTGGAAAGAGCAGCTCAGAATGATTGGGATAATACAATTAACTGCAGACAAGCAAAAGAATCCATGCCGTTTCAATCAAAAGCCAGAACTAGGGAGCTACTTATGCTGAACAGAAGTGGCATCCGACTTGTCACAGGTTTTCTAACTGGACACTGCGGAGTTAAAAAACATTTATTGAATCTAGGTATTACTGGAGACGGCAGCTGTAGACTTTGTTACGAAGAAGAGGAAACAGCAGAACACATATTGTGTCACTGTGATAGTCTTGCAAGACTTAGACTTCGCTACTTATCCATTGCCTATCCGCTTATAACGGAAGTAGGCAACATCTCTCCAAAGGACATACTGACATTCTTAACTGCTACTCGTCTATGGAACTGAAGTGGGTATGTCACAATAATCCTCGAGGATGCAGTGACGCGGAGACTACTTCCCAACCCTTCTTTTGAAAAAAAAAAAAAAAAAAGCATAGGAACGAATAGAAATCGAAACAAAAACTTCGGAAGCTTTAAGTAACATCATAAGTAACAACATAGCGAAAATGACATAAACAGTAGCAGCAAGAACAAATCCAACGATACGATCACTATGGCTAATACAGAGTTAACGGATTTAATACGTTTCTAACGGCTAAGTTTACAAATGAAAAGTCAAATTCGAGTACAAATGGAGAGGATATGATTCCATGTTTTAATGGCGAAGCAGGGATGTCAATAGAAAAATGGTTCAAAAATCTAGAAGAATTGGCAGCTGCATATAAATGGTCGGACACACAAAAATTAGTGTTTGCAACAAATACGATAACCAAAGTAGCAAAATTTTCTTGTAAACACTAAGAACAAAAAATTAAAGCACATACTTATTCAAGCATATAAGTTCATAACCAACTACGAGAAAGGAAAAAAAAGACAGTGAAAGCGCTCATGAATATATTTTACACATACGAAACATCGGTGCAACTGGATCAGTGGAACAAAAATCGGTGATTCAATATATTGTTGACGGAATCAAAGGAAGGCCAAAAAATAAAATGATGTTATATGCTGCGAAGAATTATTTGGAGTTAAAAGAGCAAATATATATTTACGAACGCATGAGTAAAATGAAACCGATGAATGAAAAGTACGGGAAAAATAATGAAGTGACGAAGGAGATTTGCTACAACTGTGGCTCAAAGGAACATAAACGGGTAAATGTACAGAAATGCAAAAATGTTTTAAATGTAACAAATCAGGCCACATCGCAAAAAATTGATTAGAAACCAATCTAGGGGTTTAAATTGTAAATTATACTTTAGAAATGGAAAAATTAAAATTGGTTAGAATTGACAACAAAAAATTTAAGTGTTCAATTGATGGTGGTGCCGACATAATGCTGATAAAACACAGTTTATTTAAAAGCAATTTTGTGCAAAAACAAGTGAAAAATTATGATTTCGGCGGCGCAAAAACAAATTCAGATGGCAAAATTTTATGTGAAATCGAATTGGATAAAATAAAATTAGAATACCATTTAGTAATAGTACCAGATTATGCGGTAAACTTCAGATATGTTTTTGATGACAGCCGTTATAAATTTTTGTCACTTATTATTGTAACAGATCGAGAAAAGAACGAAATATTAAATATTTCAGTGAATGCTAAAGAAATTCCACGAAAGTTCGACAATAACATCGAACATATACGAAACAATTATAAGCCAATGAAAATAAAAAGCAGCCCAATCGAAAAAAAAATCGTTTTAGAGAAAGAACAGACAATCTATACTGCACCAAGCAGATTACCGTTGAGTGATAAAAAAATCGTCACCAAAAAAGTGGAAGAGTGGATGAAAAATGGTACAGAGTTGGTACTAACATAACTCTGTAGTAGAGTTGTGTTAGTAGAAAAAAAGATGGGTCAAAAAGAATGTGCATCGACTGTCACCGTCTCAACAAATTAGTGTTTAAAGATTAATATCCGGTACCAAATATGGAAGATATAGTAAATTAATTAGAAGGTGCTTCGACTTTCAGCGTATTCGATATCAAAAATGCATTTTTACTTGTGCCAATTGAGGAAAACAGTCGCAAGTACACAGCGTTCGTAACAAACGACGGCCTGTTTGAGTTTAATTTTGCTCCTTTCGGATTTTGTAATTTGCCGGCAAACTTTATTCGTTATATAAATTGCATGCTTCAACAATTAATAAATTAATCTATTTTGGAGGTCTACATGGATGATATTATAGTTTATTCGGCAAACGAAGAGAAAAATATAAAAAAGATAAAGTGTTTTTTCAAAGTGGTGACAGAAAATGAATTAAAAATTAATTGGAACAAGTGTAAATTTTTGCAGAAAAGGGTGCAATTTCTAGGGCTAGTTTTCGAAGAATACAATATTAATGTATAGAGCTTTTAAAGACTAATACAATATTAATGTATAGAACTTTTAAAGAGAGCTCTATATACATCGTTATAATAGTTATAACATTTCTCCTCCATAAGTTTAGAATTTCTAAAATTTATTAATTACATACAATACATTTTTAATTTACTTAAGATAATTAATTTAAATTTTCAATTAAATTTTTTAATTCAATTTATAATTCAATTTCTAATTTAAATAAATAAAATTAATTTATTTTTCTGTAAAAAGTTATCAGCTTGATGCCGCTGTATAAGAGTTCGAGGACGCGTACCTCGACGTAGTTCTTCGAATGCATTTGAAGGATTAACAGCTGACTTTTCAGGCTCTGGAATAAGAGTTTGTGATGATATTGTTTGCCATGTCAATTCTTCAGGTTGAATATTATTTTCTTGGTTATTTTGGTTATTGGTTTCACAACGCTTCAACTGGTTTTGATGGTGTTTATAACAACCAGTTGCTGTTTGAACGATATATACTTTTCTCCCTAGTTGTTTCTTTATAACACCTTTTATATATTTCAGTCCACTCGAGAAATTTCGTAAATATTCAGTATTATAGAGATCGTATTTATTTTTACTAAGATTTTCCGCATAATTTCCAAAAGGTTCGGATATTTGGCTTACAAGTGTACGAACAGCACGACCGTGTAAAATTTCAGCTGGTGACTTTCCTTCTGAGTTAGGTAAAAACCGATAAGATGAGAGAAATTTTATCACAGTTTCATTAATTGATAGTTTATCATCGATATTCTTCTTTACCGATTCCTTAAATGTGCGTACGAAACGTTCTGCGAGTCCGTTCGGGGCTGGATGGAAAGGAGCTGTCGTAATTTGTTTGACACCATTTTTATAGCAAAACGTTCTAAACATTTCTGACGTTAATTGCGGCCCATTATCGCAGACTATGCATTTGGGAAAACCTTTAATTGCGAAAATTGATTGCAAAGCTATAATTGTATGAGCTAAGTTGTACCAGATAAACGAATAATATATGCAAATTGCGAAAAATCATCCACACAAATAAGGCACATTGCATTGAAATCAGGTCCTGCGAAGTCTATATGGATGCGAACCCATGGTGCTTCAGGTGTCGGCCAGGATGCATATGTTCTTTTGGGGCTAGCACTAGTTATGCAACAAATAGTACACTTTGCTGCTTTTCGTTCGATATCTCTATCTATGCCGACCCACCAGCAATGCTGACGTGCTAATTGCTTCATTTTTATTACGCCCCAGTGTCCTTCATGCAAAAGTTGCAAAACAATTTTTTGTAAAGCTTTTGGTATTACTACACGGGTGGCATTACCCTGTAGACAAAGTAACCCCTGTTCTATTGTCAATTGAAGCTTACGAGTAAATCTAAGCATTAACTCGCCATCTTTTAACTTTATAGGCCAACCTTCACTGACAAATTTTTTAACACGGTTATTTATATTTGCCGCATGCTTTTGTATTTGATTATGGTTTGTTGGCAAATTTATCTTTTTTACATTATTGCACCACTCCTGCTTATCAAAGTCCACATCTGGTCCCAGCGGCATTCGAGATAGTGCATCATCATTTGCATGTTCTTTAGTACTACGATACTAAATATCATATTAGTATCCCATTAAAATAATAGCCTATTGCTGAAGGCGATTGGCAGTCAGAACTGGCAGTTGTTTATTTTGATGGAAAAGACTTACCAATAGTTTGTGATCAGTTACTAGAATAAACTTTCGTCCATATATATACTGATGGAAGCATTGAACTGGAAAAACTATAGCAATAGTTTTTTGTTCTATCTGACTATACTTTATTTGATGCTGATCCAATGTTATTGATGCAAAAGCAATTGGTTTTTCAGAACCATTGGCCAAAATGTGAGATAATACAGCACCGATTCCGTATTACGACGCATCAGCAGCAGAAGGATACATCTTTACGACGCAACATATTAATCGGCGCGGCCATTTGAGAATAATTTGGGTTAAAATTGTGATAGTAATTTATTTTTCACATGAAGGATTCATCTTCTTTTAAATTGTTGGGAGTTTTAAGTTCTTTTACCACTTTTACACCGGATTCATCGGGTAGAATGCCGGAAGCTGTTATTTGACGTCCCAAATACACAATTTGTTCTTGTAAAAATAAACACATTTCTTTTTTACATAAAATTATTAATACATTTTTCACACGTTTGATATGTTCTTCGGTACTAGAAGCGGTTATAATAATTTCATCTAAAAAATTTGCCCAGCTTTCTTGATTTTTTAATAATTGCTCTAAGTACCTTTGAAAAATTGCAGGCGCACTAGTAATACCGTACGGAAGACGTTGGTACTAAAAAAGACCGATTGGAATATTTATTACGCGCAAAGGTGATGGATATTGTTCAACATCAATTTGTGGATTCATAGTAGCTTTAAAATCTGTGCAAATACGAGCCGAGCCATCAGGTTTTTTAGCTAACACGATAGGTGATGCCCTTTCACTAAATTGCACTGGCTTTAATATTTCAGCATCTATTAACCGATTGATTTCTTTTTTAAACTGCGGTATTAACGCGAACGGTACTTGGCGGCTTTTACAAAATTTTGGTATAGGATTCAATTTAAATTTTATTGATGCTTTAAAATCTTTATTAGTGCCTAAAGCAAGCTTAAAAAATTCAGAATAATTTTTAATTATTTCAATTTCCAATTTTACAATTGCTTAGATTTTATGAATTTCAATTCCAAAAGCTTTAAAAAGATCAACACCGAATAAATTGTTTTTGCTGTTGACATCAACAACGATTACAGAAACATTTATTTCTATTTGTCCACATGTCACATTCAAATTAATTTGTCCTAATAAAGGAAATTGTTTTTCACCAAATCCATATAGGCTATGATTTGTTTTAATAAGTTGTAGACGATTTAAAAAATTATACGTGGATTTTGTTATAATTGAAACCGACGCACCTGAATCTATTTGAAATGTAATTATGTTATTTAAAAGTTTTAATTTTACGAAACTTTTACCACTTTCATAGAACACAATACCGTTTTCATTATCGGTTTTTGTTTTATGGAATGCAATGTTTTTGTGACTCTCTCCTTTTTTTGTCAATACTGTAAATTTGCACATTATCAACAGTGTGCCTATTGTTTTTGAAAGATTTTTTGTTGGGTTTCTGCTTTTTTACAGTTTGACGAACTGGAGACATATGACCAATTTTCGCGCAATTACTACAAGTTGCATTTTTATACCTGCATTCGTCTCGCGTGTGACACACAAAACATCCCGAACACCGTTTAAATTTATTAGTTATTTTATTAAAATTCCGGTGTGAATATTTTTTTTATCACTTTTTTCACATAAAATATTTATTGGTATATTGTTATCAAATTCTGGATCTTTAATTGTAGTAACCGTTTTGCTTGTCGTTTCGTACGTCTCAGCAATAAGTAAAACTTCTGCTAAAGTCGGCAGAGTTTTTTGAAGCGCAGCGGCTCTCACAGCATCGTGTGGGGTGTGCAGAATTATTTGATCACTAATCATTTCATCCACATAACTGTTGTTGCGGGATTCTCCGCTACACATATAATTACACTTTCTCGCAACACCACGGAGTTCCACTACCCAGTCTTTATATGTGGCCTCGTGTTTCATTAAGCACTTTCCAAACTGAAAACGTGCAGCCACAATATGCATGTGGTGGTTAAAATGGTCCGTTAGTTTGTCTGTAAGTTGATCAAATGTGAAGTCAGATAAATTATCTTATCCAAAAAGATTTCTGAGGAACTCAAACAGTTCTCCGCTTTTAAAACTGAATAAGCAACGAAATGCTGATTAAGTTGCTCCAGATACAAGTTCCATGATTGAACCTCTTTATTAAAAGGCTAAAATGGTGGTGGTGTTGATATATTGGACTTTGCGTCAGTCATGGTTCGTGCTCCCATCGAACCGCCCAGCAACGACTTCACGAAATTTTATTGTTCCAACATCATCTTCTCGGACCAGTCTCGCTGTTGTTTTAATAGTTTTTGCACCAACTCAGCCGTCTCTGCCATTTCAATTGTTAACAAAAATTTTTTCCAATTATTGATGAAATATAAATACATATTATTATACGCGTTATTTATTTTATTACCGAAATCAACTACACAAACTGAATCTCCTCGTCGCCACTTGTTATATTTAGTCACTTCGCAAGATGAGTTTACTTAATACTAACTTTATTTTTAAATCAATTCTTAAAACTAATACAAAATTAATGTATAGAGCTTTTAAAGACTAATACAATATTAATGTATAGAGCTTTTAAAGACTAATACAATATTAATGTGTAGAGCTTTTAAAGAGAGCTCTATATAATTCGTTATAATAGTTATAATAATATAAAACACGTAGACGCGTCAAGTTTACACGCAGTTTTAACGATTGATACAAAAAGCGAAATTCGTTTAAGTATTGAAAAAGCGCAAAAAACCGATGAACATCTCAGCGCTACATGCAAATTTTGGAAATAAAACAATATATATATATAATATATATAATATACAAAATGATTGGTAAGGTGTCGTTCAAGGAAGTAGACGGACAAACTTTATTGGTAATTCCACGACTAATGGAGACAGAGGTGATAAAAACTTGTCATGACCAAGGCCATTTTGGAGTTATGAAAAACTGTGTCAAATGTATTTTGTACAATAAAAAGCAGAGTAAGCTAGAGGGATTACTACATCCGATTGATAAAGGCGATACTCCATTATGTACCTTACATGTGGATTACCTAGGACCGATGGATGCTACTTCGAAAAAATATAAGTATATTTTCGCAATGGTCGATGGCTTTAGCAAGCTTGTGTGGCTTTATCCGACAAGATGTACTGGAGCTGAGGAAGTGATAGCAAAACCGGAATTGTGAACCAAAATATTTGGAAATCCAGCTTGTATTGTGAGCGATAAGGGCATCGCGATTACATCAAATGCGTTTATAAAATTTTGTAATGCAGCGCAGATCGAACATACCCTAATAACAACAGGCGATCCAAGGGTAACGGCCAAATTGAAAAGGTAAACAGAACAATTATCAACGTTATTTCTAAATTATCATGGGAGTCTCCTCATCAATGGTATCGTTTTGTGGAAGACGTGCAAAGCGGTATTAATAATGCAATTCATCGAACTACGAAACATTCACCGTTTGAAATACTTTTTGGTATAAAAATGCGAAAGAGCAGCAGGTACAACTCCATAAAACAAGCAATAGAGGATAAATTGATTCAAGAATTTGACGAAGAACACAATATTCTCCGACAACATGCTAAACGACACATTGTAGAAGTCCAAGCAGAATATAAAAAAACATTTGATAGAAAGCGGAAAGAAGACCGAGTATATAAAGCAGGCGACTTGGTCGCCATTAAGCGAACTCAATTTATTTAAGGTAAAAAATTAATAAATGGACTTTTGGGTCGATACGGGGTAACAAAAATCAAAATCAAAAGCAACGGACGATACGATGTACGAAAAGCAGGCATTTTTGAGGGACCAAAGAGTACATCAACTAGCTGCGATCATGTATAGTTATGGCGTCAATCAATTTAGAAGAAGAACTATTATCCGGATGAAGAGTCGAATGGCCGAATGCAGCCAGGAAGGGTAAGATATGACAATGTTAGGAGAAACCAACAAGCAGAAGGAACAAGAAGGAAGCGAGGCAGTCGAAAAAGAAGTGCGCGTTCAAGAAGACGTTTAACACTATTACATTCATACATTTTAACTTGTCTATTAAAGAAACATTCATACATTTTTATTTGACTATTAAATAAACATTCCTACATGTATATGTACTAAATAATATTAATTCTCGATGTAAATATATTTAATAGATTAATATACTTTGTTTAACCTCGAATCGTAAAACAAACGCCAGATATTTGTACAGAAATAAATGTTATTTGTACTCAATATTATGTATTTAAATATACGTATGTGCTATATTTCATATGTTATATAGTAAAGAGTATGCATAAATAATTAATTTAAATAAATTACTTTATAAATAAAAAAAAAGACATCCGTAGACTTCGCGCACAGTAAAAAATGTGTCAGCTGAAACAGGAACCAACTCTCAATTTTTCAACAACACAACAGTAAAACAAAGCGCAAAACGGTCGTTTTGCTCTCTGCATGTGCAGCGAATTTACGAAATGAATAAAATCTACAGGGTGAAGCAGTCAAGTTAGATGTTTTGTTTTGCTCCAACATACTCCCCCCTGTTGAACGCTATAGTTTCAACAAGTATCACACGGTAAAGAAGCAATTTTCTGAATTGGACGTTTGAATGTACGCTGTGGTGTGGATACGTCAACTACGCGAACCTTTCCGTCAGTGCCTGGATGAATCTGTGTTATACGGGCTAACACCCACCTTTGAGGAGGCAAATTATCTTCATGCACGATTTCTATTTGTCCAAGTTTAACATTGGGTTCAGGAGTGAACCATTTAGCTCGCTGTTGTAAAAATAGAATATAATCGCGTTTCCAGATTTCTCAAAAACGATGTTTTAAATATGTTACTCGCTGCCATCGATATAAACAATATAGTTTTTTGTCGTCTAAACATTCATCAGGCGCGGCCCGTAATGATGAATCTATCAACAAATGTGCTGGAGTTAAGGCTTCTCCGTCGTTGGGATCATCAGAGTTTGCGCAAATGGGCCCAGAATTTAATATTGCTTCTATTTCAATTATTAGTGTATTAAACTCTTCTAACGTTAGATTAGCTTCAGCAACATTTTTCACCAATAGTAGTTTGGTTGATTTGACAGCAGCCTCCCAAAGGCCACCGAAATGTGGAGCTCTAAGAGGAATAAAACAAAATTCGAAATTAAACTTACCGCAGAAAGTCATTATTTCATTAATTGACTTCTGCTGAAACAATTTATTAGCAAAATCTCTTAATTTCTTCTGTGCACTAACAAAATTTGTTGCATTATCGCAATCTAGCCGTTGTGGAACACTTCTTCTAGCAATAAATCTTTTGATACAAAGAAGAAATGCATTAGTTGATAATTCGGTGACTACTTCGATATGACATGCCTTCGAAGCAAAACAAACAAATATTGCTACATAAGTTTTATAAGGAGCTTTGCCTCGTATTCGGTATGATGTAAAAATGGTCCGCAAAAATCGATGCCACTAATCAAAAATGGACGTTGAGCCTTGAGACGGTCAGCTGGCAAGTTTCCCATAATTTGATTCAATAATTTTGGTTTGTACCGAAAACAGTGAACGCATGAGCTAACAACCTTTCTCACTGCTTCTCTTGCATTAATTATCCACAATTTCTGACGGAGCAGAGCGATTAATACCTTTGGTCCAGCATGTAAATTTTCTTTGTGTAGAAAGTAGTGCTGTTCATATTCGAATTTACGAAGTATTCGAAGACTTCGAATATTCGAATAGTAAACGAAGTCTTCGAAGTTGGAAAATGATGATTTGTTTTTAAAAGAAAATTTAAAACTTTTATAAAATCTCCTTTACTAATAAAATCCATCAATATCAATATTTTCATATTCTTACATATGTATTTTATATTATATTAAAAATTTTCATAAATATAATTTTAATATAAATTATAAATATACATTGTGACCGAAAAGTTTTCGGGAAATTTTAAATAAAACGCAAAATTCTTAACCTTCATCAATATTTATTTTATCTCCTTCAAAATATGCTCCATTAGAAGCGATACACAAATGCCAACGTTTCTCCCAATCATCAAAACATTTTTTATAGGCGCTTTCCGGTATGGCTTTGAGTTCCCTCTGCGAATTCTGTTTTACGTCTTCTATGGATTCAAAACGCGTTCCTCTGAGTGGTAATTTGAGGTTGGGAAACAGGAAAAAGTCACACGGTGCAAGATCAGGTGAATACGGTGGCTGTTCGATGGTATTTATTGAATGTTTGGCCTTAAAATCGTTGATAATGTTGAACAAATTGAGGTGAATCGGAACAAGCCGGGCGTTGACACGTCGCATACACAAATTGTCCACCAAAATCAAACGAGCCATCTCACGACCGATGCCTAGCTCTCGTGCTATCTCTCTAACACTCACATGAGGATTTTTGAACACGATTTCCTTTGCCTTTTCAATGTTTTCGTCGGTGGTAGAGGTCGAAGGTCGTCCAGAACGCGGCATGTCTTCGACGGTCGTACGACAGTCCTGAAAGGCTTTGTACCACTCATAAACTTGAGTTTTCGATAAAACTGATTCCCCATAAGCCTTTTGTAGCATTCGCAACGATTCTGCACACGAAATTTCGTTCGAAAAACAAAATTTGATGCAAACTCTTTGTTCAATATTTTTTTCCATTGTTTTTTTCGCAACGCACTACTGAGGTGAACTGGTTTCAACAGCTGCCGTAAACGAACTGTCCGACAGATCGCGCTCATTTTTGGCATAGTAATTAAGGACAGTGCTGCCAAACTACATAAACTTAAAATATCGAAAAATATACAGCGCGCGAATTTTAAATGAGAATTTCCGAAAACCTTTCGGTCACAATGTAAGTTATATAAAAGGTAAATTTTTTATTTCATATAAATAATATATTTAACAATACATTTTTAATCATAAAATAAATTTTATGTGTTAACAAAACAAAAAAACATATTTTTAATTTCTGCATAAAATACCAAAAAAAAAACATAAAACCATACAAATAAAGCAAATGCTTTCATCCCTCAAATAATTTGTGTGATGCACGTTTGTTTGCATTTTGCGCTCTCACTTCACCTTTTGCTTACGAAGTCTTCGAAGTCTTCGAAGTTTTTCACTACACTTAAACTTCGAAGACTTCGAGAACAAAAATTTACAAAAACTTCGAAGTTTTTTCCAACTTCGAAGCCTTCGTTGAAATGCGAATATTCGAATAATCGAAGAACTTCGAATTTTTAAAAACTTCGAATAATGTGAACAGCACTAGTAGAAAGTCAATATAAAGCTGCACAAATCGATCATGTTTCGGAACCAATGCTGGAAATTTAGCATCAAACGGAATTTCTGCGTTTAGTAGTCTTCCACCAACTCGAAGAATTTTTATCTCATTGTTGCCTTCCAAATTTGTATGTAGGAACGGAGAAAGTTTTTGTAAGTTATCGCTTATGGTCTTACCACGTTCCAATACATTGATCTCATGTGAATAGGTTACACGTTGTATTTCAGCAATGATTTTCCAAAAGGTGATGTCTAATTCCTTTGATGATATGTGCATGATATCAGTTAGCTCTAATTGTTTGTCAGGGCATTCTTTGTTAAACATTCGAAAAATATAAGTACATATACGTAAAATTCTATAGTAAGACGAATTATTGTGTGTTATCTCTAAAAGTATTGAGTTCTCATTATCAATCTTTCTGCACTTTAATGTCAGTGTTTTGCGTAGTTCTATTGAATGTTCTTTAATGTCACCAATTTTACGTGATGGCCATTGATCTATATGTAAATACAAAAATGCAGGTCCGCTGAACCATATTGTTTTAGGTAATTCTTCAGCATTACAACCGCGAGAAACAATGTCTGCAGGATTGTCTTTAGATGGTACGTGATGCCATTTGATGTTTTTGGTCATTTCTTGAATTTCTGATGTACGATTTGCTACAAAACAATTAAGAGAAGATAAATGCATTTGTAGGCACTGTAAAACCACCTCAGAATCTGTCCAAAAATATACTGAATTCACGAATTGTTCAACCTTGGACATGACTTTATTCCATGTTCTACTTAATAAGAGTGCTGCACACAGTTCAAGTCTCGGTAGAGATTGTGCCTTAATCGGCTCTACCTTTGATTTAGCAATTAAAAGAGTTACATTCCATGTATCATTCAATCTTGTACGTATATAAATGCAACAACCGTAGGCACGCTGTGAAGCATCGGAAAATCCGTGAACTTCACTCTTAATTTCACTGTCAGTAAAAACATAACGAGGTGCATTAATAGAATTTAAAAAGTATAAATCATCTCTTATTTTTAACCATGATGTTAGTAACTTTGGAGGCAGCGTTTCATCCCAACTCAAATTTTGTATCCAAATTTCCTGAATTAGAATTTTACATCGTACAATAATTGGACTTAAAAGTTCCAATAAATCAAAAATTTTAGCCACAGTTGATAGAACCGATCGCTTTGTATGAATGTCATGAGTCGGAATTTTATATTAAAAACAGAATAAATCACTTTTTGGTTTCCAAACCATGCCTAATGCCTTCGTGATGGGATTTGCGCTAGATTTGACATTGAAACTTTCATCACTGCTCGACACTACTTTGTCGCAATTAGAACTCCATTTTGCGAGTTGTAATCCAGCCTTTGATAGTAAATTTGTAATTTCTATTTTTTTGTTTAGTAATTCAGTAATAGTATTAGCGCCGGTGAGAAGATCATCAACATAGAGATCTGTTTTTAACGTAGAAGCACCAATTGGAAATTTATGAATATGCATGTCGGCAATGTGAAAGAGCGATCGAATAGCTAGAAACGGAGCGAATGATGTTCCATACGTCACTGTATTTAATTGAAAAATCTGTAATTCAGCGTGAGGATTATCTCGCCACAACACTAACTGAAACCATCTATCACGTTTGTCCATCAAAAATTGGGGGTACATTTTTGCAATGTCCGCTGTCAATGCATACTTATGTAATCGAATTGCCATGAACATAGTTATTAAATCTTGTTGAATAGTCGGTTCAACCATAAGTGTGTCGTTTAGAGAATACTTAGACCAAGTCTTTGCTGAAGCATCAAACACGACTCGAAGCTTTGTTGTGAGACTCTGAGTCCTTAAAACGCAGTGGTGTGGTATGAAATAGTGTGGCTTCGAGAAATCTACTGCTTTTATATTAAACATGTACCCTAATGATACATATTCATTCATGAACTCTGAGTACATTTTGTATAGAACTTGATCTCGTTGCAACCTATGTTCCAGTGAAAGAAAACGTTGTTTAGCTAGATGAAATAATTTTCCTAAAACATCGGGGTTGACTTTAAAAGGTAATCTTACTTGAACTCGCCCATTTTCGCTGATTGTTACTGTTTTGATGTAGTGCTGTTCGCAATTTTTTTCCTCTGCGCTGAGTTGCGGGGAGCTTATTTTGTATTCTTCTAATTCCCAAAATCGTTCAAGAAATGTGTCTTCATTGTGTGATTTTTGAGTAAAGTTGCATTCAAATGATTTAGAACATAAGTCTGTGCTATGCGTGCCTCCTGCTACCCAACCGAAAACAGCGTTAATTAAATATGGCATGTCTTTGCCTAACGAAATTTTGCCCTCAAGTAATAAATCAAAGAATATTTCTGCACCAATCAGCATGTCCATTTGACAAGGTCTATCGAATAATGGATCCGCTAATTGAATATTAGTAGGAATTTGAAATTTTGTTGCATTAATGTAGGCTCTATGGTTTACGGAGGAAATAGATTTCGTAATCGTAAACTGAGAAGACCATTCAAAATCGGACGTGCGAGAATGCACAGTTGCAAATACATTATAATTGAAATGTGTTTTCAAATTGGAAATACCAAAGACTTCTTGAGTAGAGTATTGCCATTTTAAATGCAATAATTTGGCTGTTTCCTCTGTAATAAAGTTTAATTCAGAACAGGAATCTCAAAGTGCGCGCACTGGATGCTTAAGCCCAAACTTGTCCATCACAAATACCAGAACAGTAGGAATAATTGATCTTTTTGAAGACTGATTGTTGAGATTGTTGTAGCTGTCCTTGCTCTTGAATTGCGATACTTGGACAACTAATTGATGAATCAATCAAAGTATTTGTAAATTTGTGTAAATGAGTATGATGTGATGAACGACAAATTCTGCAACGTGATTCGGATTTACATTTTGTAACGGAGTGTCCTTTTGTCAAACAATTTATGCAGCAGCCTGCTTTCTTAACAAAGTCAAAGCGCTGAGAAACTGGCGTTGCTAAAAACGAAGGGCATTTTCCTAAAAAGTGGTCAGCTGCCTTGCAAAATTCACAACCAGATTTGACACTGAGATGCGTTTGTAATACTCTTCTTGGTACAGTATTAAAATTATTTCGTGATTTATTTTCGGAAGCGTTAATGGACGTAGCTCGTCCTTCAAGAAATTGACAACGCCGACTTAACATCTGATAACATTCGTCCCAAGAAGGCATTTTTTCAAATTCTTGCTTTTCGTCATGTGCAAATTTTGTTTCTGCATCAACTTTACTTACGACTATTAAATTATAATAGCATTCATAACTTTTACTTCTGAGCCCAATGAAAGCAATGATGATCTTAATGCTGCATCAGTATCAATTAATTTACGTAGAGAAGCCGGATCAGCTTTAGTCATTCCTGGAATATTAAAGAGTTAAGTAATGTGGTCTAAGAATATTAATACCTTATTATCGAAACGTTCTTTCAATCGTGCCATAGCCTTTGGATAATTTTCTGCTGTAATTTGAAAGGCTTCGATGACTGCAAGTGCAGGGCCTGTAAGACATGATAATAAATAATTGAATTTATCGACATCAGATAAGGTTGGGTCATTGTGCACCAAATGTTTAAATGCTGCGATAAATCGATTGTAGTTGGCATATTTTCCGTCAAATTTTAGCAATTTTAAACATGGCAAACGAGAATTGTGGGCAACACTGAAATTAGATGTTGTATTCATCACACTCTTTTCAAATGAAGTATTACTTCGAGTTTCTTTAAGCAAAATAAGTATTTTCGCCTTTGAAACAACAAATAGCTCTTCAAAATCAGCTCTGGCATTGTCTGCTGGATTTAATTGTTCGATTTGTGATTGAATATGGCATAATTGTTTGAAATGAGATTCTAGAATTTGTAGTCGACATTCCAGAATTGTTGGATCTACTTCGTCCTTTTCCTTATCTATTTTACATCGAATCGAGGTCATGTTCCTTTTCACTGTTGATCGCTGCTGCTTTAAATTATTTAAATTAAGAGCAGAATTATTACTTGTATTGACTGCATTATTAGCCGTATTAGCTGCATTATTGCTTGCATTGCTGATTGGATTGTTATCATTATCGGTATTCATTTTATTGCTAGGACACGTGTCCTGTCACGGTCGCCAATGTTTAACCTCGAATAGTACAACAAACGCCAGATATTTGTACAGAAATAAATGTTATTTGTATTCAATATTATGTATTTAAATATACGTATGTGCTATATTTCATATGTTATATAGTAAAGAGTATGCATAAATAATTAATTTAAATAAATTACTTTATAAATAAAAAAAAAGACATCCTTAGACTTCGCGCACAGTTAAAAATATGTCAGCTGAAACGGGAACCAACTCTCAATTTTTCAACAACACAACAGTAAAACAAAGCGCAAAACGATCATTTTGCTATCTGCAAGTGCAGCGAATTTACGAAATGAATAAAATCTACAGGGTGGAGCAATCAAGTTAGATGTTTTGTTTTGCTCCAACATACTTTATTTGACATGTGCGCGCAAAAAATCACTCTATAACTTTCTGATTTTTTCTATGTAAAAAACGTGGAAGTTGATATTAAAAAATCGAGACAGTGACTCTTAAACCAAATTTATAAAAATAATCGTGCCTTTGTGACTAGGGTCACGAAAGCCACTGTTATATAAGGGGATAGTGGAGAGGTTATAGTCCACTTCATCGAAGTAGTGTGTCAGGAACAAGATCTTCTGAAAGAGTGAGAGGAGTAGAGACGTCGGGGGTAAGGTCACGGAGCCGGGTGAGATACCTACGGGCGAATGACAGAAGATACTCGTCAACACGAATGATCTTGGCATTGTTGTAGAGAGTTGATATGGAGAAGTGGTTGCCATTACGCTTGCGGTTGTAGTTAGTGCAATCGCGAAGAAGTTTCCGCTCAAACATGCAGATTCTTTCCATTTCAGCGGAAGTGATGGGAAATGGGGAAAGCGAAATTGAAGAGAGGACGAATAAGCTGCTTATGGCAGAGCAGCTTAACTTTGCAGTTAAGCTGGTAATGTCTTCGAAATGCATTTTTAAGTTGAGTATGCCTGAACCGGGCGTTATGGATGGCATAGTCAACATGTGGTATAAAGTTATGCTTGGATGAGAAAACAATGTCAAGATATTTCAGCTTGGGAACAAGCTGAATTGGAGAGTTATTAAGCTTGAGCTTAATATTAGAGGTGCTAAAACCTCTGGAACGAACACGCTGCTGGCCAGAAAAGGCAGTGGCAGAGATCTTAGAATGATTGAGTTTAATCTTCTACCTGGTATAGTAGTCAAAAAGAGATTTAAGGTGGGCATTAAGCTCAATGGAGACGCGGTAAGAATTAGACGATCGCATGAAGACAAGGCAGTCGTCTGCGAAGCAGATTTGCTTAATAGGGGTCCGCGGAAGCGGGATGTCTGCTATAAACAGGTTGAAAAGGAGAGGTCCAAAAATCGAGCCCTGAGGGACGCCGGCGTCGATGGGAAAGTCACGAGACAGAGAGGAACCGATTCGAACCTGAAAGGTTCTGTTGGAAAGAAATTTGTGGACTACAATGCAGAGCGTAGGAGAGGAGCCGAACTGGTGGAGCTTAAGAATTAAGCCTTCAAACTAGACAGCATCAAAGGCTTTTTCAATGTCAAGACTTAGTGCCACAGTAGGCTGCTGTAATGTGATATGAGTACAAGACCACACATATCACAAAAGACTCAAGTGTTCCGAATAATTTAAAGTAACCATTGACACAATACTATTTTAATAAAATTTATGACAAACTATTGTCAAGTAATATGAGCCTTTATTTTGTCATTATTTTGATGACAAATAACTGAGCCGCACATTGCACCATATGTGCAATATGCATAAGTCAAAACTGTGTCAATAGAATAAACGGTTTCAAGTAAAACCATATGTAGAAATCTTGCATTAGTAAATATAATACCATTTATCGATAAGATATTTTTGTAAGAATATTATATACGTCTAATTTGGGTTAACCATAATTTTGGGACTTTGGTGGGTTGCCCGTGAGCAACGTCAGTTTAATTACAAGGAAAGTATTCTCAGCACGAAGCCGGGCATTGTCAGCCTTAAGGGCAGCAACGGATTTTAAAACTGACTCAAGTTGCTCATATACTTGCTTACGGATTAGGGGGTCAACGACAGTCCTGGCGCCTTTCAATGAGGGGGATGGAGAGATCGTCCTAACATCAGAGCTAACCTTAGAGGGTTGTGGATCTCCATCTCCAACTTCCATAATTGCGAAAGAGAATTAGAAAATTCAATATAATCCAGATATGGTTTGAAATGTAAGAATAATTTAGGAAGGATAGGAAGAATGAGGAAAAATGAAAATGAAATAGATAGTGAGTGAAAAAGATATATATACATATATATATGTAAGTGCAATGTAAATACAATATATAATAAATACAGTATACTACAGAAATACTTATGAAGATAGATACAAACACGAATATGAATAAAAATATAATTATAAATATAAATGCAAATATATATAATTATAAATAAGCGTATATATAAATACAATGATAAATAAGTGTAAATGCGAATGAATAATACAATATCTATGTATATATAAGATATAATATATATAATATATTTAATATAATATAATAGTAGTATAATGTAATACAATAATATATATAATAATAATGTAATAATATATATAAGAGTAACGAAGTTTTGCAACAACACTCACCAAGAATGAGAGTTGATGTGCAAATTAAAATTAGTATAACTCCAAAGCTGATTGAAATGCCTACTCCTACTACGATTTTTTCCAAAATCGAAAGGAAGAAGATAGCAGACATACCAAACAGTTTTCAAGCACGTTCTATAAATGCACAAGAGCAATGTGTACTTAGCCGGAATTGTGCTTTCTCTTAAAGATTGATAAAAGATGAATAAGGAGAATACAACTAGTGAATGTACTACCGGCTTGAAAATTTTACTATGGAGTTAACGCGAGTCCGTGTTGAAAGCGGTCGTATACGGGTTAAGCTTATCCCGTAATCACACAATCACGTAAGCTTATTCCATAAGCTTATGAGATTTCACTGACGCCTCGTAAAGTCCACTAAAATGACGTGCTCTTGGCGGAATTAACTTAAAGCATGCGACTATGCAGAAGGCAATGGCCCTACAACGCGAGCGTGGAATGTGCTGACACTACGAAACGTGACAAGCAAACACGCTACTTTTGAAGCTGACACAAAAGTACAGAAAGTTTTGACTAGGCAGTTGCTGGTTGAACTTGAGCGGTTGAGCATGATAACTCGCTTATGTGATAAAGTCGATTTGCTAAATTTTTTATTATAAGTTACAAAATAAGATGAGTGTTGTTGATTAATAAAAAATTGATAAAATTCAACGTTAATCCTTTTGAAACCTGATTAAATTGGTATCGGTTTGTTTTGATCAAACATCGTGTGGGAGTAACCTTCGCGTATTCGCAAACGTAAAACGGTATATGGCAAGCAACAAGTCAAGTGACGATTTTAACTCCAAAACCAAAACTTAATTGTGCACGAGTTTAGTGAAAAGCTACAGCGATTGCGGTTAAAACATTTTGCTTTCAGATAGACACGTGTAATACTGCAGTAATTTCATTTTCTCTGCACTTGTTAATGGTTGCTCCAACATATTTACCAGCACAGCTCGTTTTAACTACGGCGACGACGACGTTAAAGAACTAAGAGCAAACGACCAACCCTTTTTGGGATTAGCATTGTGACGAAATTTATTGCAATAAGTTATAGTTTAACAGTAATAAATTCAGAAATTTCAAAAGAAATCTATACAATAAAATAATTAAACAAAATTTTATTATAAGTGAAGATAAAACTAATATAACTACAGTAAACAACCAACCTAATATAAAATAAACATTATAAGCAACCATTATAATCACAGCTCCAACTTTATCAGCATCAACGTCAACCACAATAATAACAGTAACGAGTGCGTCAACAAGAACAACAATTATTATACGCAACAACTTCGATTACAACTTTAAAAGATAACAACTGCAACTGCGACTGCAATTGCAAAAGCAATAGCAATAGCAACTATTAAAATTTAAGTCACATCAACAACATCAGCAGCAACAGTGACGACAACAGAAGTCCCAAAAACGTCTGCAACAACAGCAAACACAGCAAAGAACA